CTAGACCCATCTAAGCAAAACGTAACTATTAACCTAGCAATCAAGCGCAGCACAGGATCTTATTTGGTGGGACTAATTTCGAAAAAATGTACAAAATATATATGTATTCTTACCTAGCTTATGAATTGCTCCTTTTTCACTCATGGGATTCCCTAACTCCTTTTTAACATCAAATAGCGAATATTTACTTCTTATGAAAATGGAGTAAAGGTGGCGTAGCAGCTTTAGGAAACATCACAGAATGTGAAAAGAAGAGAAGGAATGACTGAAACCTTAACGTTTCTGTCTTGTTAAAGTTCGAGTAGAGACACAATGTCTTCAGTTAAGTGTGGGACTCCACTTTTCGAATTTGATAGTTGCCTGTTTATCCTGGGATAAATCGAATGCCAAGTGCTTAAAAGCTATACCTGATTTAATTTTTTTCTCTTTTATTGTTTAGATAATTTCCCAACATATTAATAATATTAATAATATATTAATAATATTAAATTAAATATAAGATCCTTTGCGGACTGCACTAAAAACTTCAAAATATTCATCAATGGACATTGAATCATCTATATGAGACTCCCAAGAATCAACCAGTTTCCCTTGTCCTAAGTTAGGTTAGATTAAGTTTACGTATTCCAAATAATCTGTAGGATTTCCATCAAAAATTTCACAATTGAATAAACAATCGTACGGAAGGTATAGATAATATTGATTGAATATACATGGTTTCAGCTTTCTATTCATTAATCGTAAGTATTGAAAAATGCCGTTGGATTCTTAGTTAAAATAGTTAGGTGTTAAAATATTTTTCCAAAATCTATAGACTTTAATGCGAACATTGGGTACGTTCAGCGAATTAAGCGCTCAGTAAACGTGTTCGGTGAGCGGACGCTGAACGCAGTGATCAGTAGACATGCTCAGTGAGCGCTCACCATATTTCTGAGCGTAATATTTTTAAGCTAATTACTGATGATCGGTCAGCTGCTTTAAATCGAAAAAATGGATGGTGAAAATTTAAATGTATTTTTAATTTAAAGTGCTTGTGATAACAATTTACCCGATTTTACGGGTTGTCAAATAGATTATTTCAGCCATGTTTTTCAAAGAACGGAATTCAAAGAAAAGAACGAAAAATTTGTATGAAGAAACTGTACCACCGTATATAGATGACCAGTTTACAGAACATTTAAGGAGGTAGCAGTACGAAGTAGAAGAAAATTAATCGCACAATAAAAACGCTCACTGAACATGTTTACTGGGCGCTCACTTCGCTGAACGCACCCATTGGTAATGTGAACGTTTGATGCGATGGAAAAAGTAAAAGACAAATTATTTTTTAAAACCGAAAAATTTTACTATAAAGCTCATTTTATTTAAAATAATAATTCTTTCACCTTAAATAAAAACAAAATAAAAAAATTATAATCTAACAAAAATTTATTACAAAATTTACAGTAAAAATTATATTTGAACAAAATGCGTAATTCAAATTTTTTGAGCAATTTATTTATGTAAATGGATATATAGTTATTAAACATTACTTTAACAGATATTAGTCAAATATTTTTCTTTTTTAAATCAACTCAGAATAGTTTAAGAAGAGAATGGGCAAACTCATACTCGAAACTTTTGCCTTACGTCGTTCATTTTTATCATTAACAATTTCAAGTATTTAATCTTTTCATTTTTTTTTTTCAAAGAACAAAGTCGAGAACGATCTGTTCAAACAGTTACCAAAAAAATTGAGTGATAAAAAATCATTTGTCATGATTCATGGTCTCTCCCTAGGCAATTCATACGCTTTTTTCCTTTTTTCCATAAGATATAACAAATTTCAATTCGTTGAAATAACTAAACTTACGAGAATCTTAGGTTGCTTGACTTTTATGTATAATAATGGAAGATTTTTTATGTTTTATATAAAAAATATTAAACGGTTGGGGTTGCTTTAAAAAAAGTTGAAACGAAAATTTAATTTTATCACTTTCTTCTGGTCAAAGACTAATAGTGGTAACGGGAAAAAACTTTTTGCTGAAAATTTCTACATATTAAGAGAGTTGAACGTATTTGCAATCACGAAACTAAAATCAATCACTTCACAATAAACAAAGAATAACGTGAGGACTGTTGCTTCAGCACTACACATTTAACATAATTTTAAACAGATTTAAATTCAAAACCAACTACCGTCTGTGAACTCACTGTCATTATGAGCACCTAAAATGTAATACTCACTGAATATAGTTTAAGTAAAATTTTCATCTTTTTTTTGGGCTTCACTCAGCAATTATTACTACGCAGATAATAATATTATAATATTTCAACATTATCACGGAGCTTTTATCTGCATTTTATATTATCTTAAAACATTATAGAATCAATTTAGAATCCAAACGAATTTATCACTTCAATTAATAAAATTTTTTCATTTGAAATTAATTAAGTTTTATTGCTAGGAGTTTTAAAATTACTCACAAATTTCATTCGGATGTCAACTGAACGATATTTATTTTTTGCTTAAATTGAGCACCCATAAAATAAAAAAATATAATCGTTAAGTTAGGTGAACAGTTAATGCAGAGAGGTATTTTTAACACAACTTTTTATTTTTTATAATCAATTCTCGAAAATATGAAAAAAAATCTTTAATTAAAGTAAATTCTCTAGATTTCTCATTTATGTGTCAAATATGTACAGTTATTTGTATAAAATTTCATTTCGGTTATATAACTTTTTTGGAAAAATATTTTTTATATTGGATGAAAAATATACAGTACGGAGTATTTTTTTTTTTTTTTTTTTTGAGACCTTAAATCAAAATCGACAAAAGTGCTGTCCGATTGTATGATCAGATCGAGTTCGAAAGTTTTAACGGCCTGCAAGAACATGTGTAAAGGCAGCAAACGAACGCAAAAGTCGTCGCCGAGTCCTGGCATTCACTCCTGGGGTAGAAGGTCTCGCCACAATCAGCTTCAAAGCGATGCTTTTCAAAATGTGTTGTTTGCACCCACACCTCGATGGAAGAGGAGGACGACGTGGCCAATGATGTCTTTTATATTCGCTTCAAGCGTCACGATGTCAAAATTGTGCTTGGAGATTTTTACGTGAGGGTGTACAAAAAAGGCTGGCCGACAAATCCAAGGAAGGTTGATAAGCAAAACATAAACGAAAGCTGTGGAGCGATATTTCAAGCTCCCTTGTACAGTTGCATAAAAAACAATTGATTTACAAAACGACCAAAAAGCAGATGGTGCGATGAGGATTGTCGTCACATCACAAGCAAGACACATGTACAGGAAAAAAGATACCGAGATGCGCGAGAAGCTAACAAACAAGGCTTGAAAAATCTGCAAAAAGATACGGCGATTTACAGAAGGTTTCAAGACCAGCAGATGCCTCAGAGAAATAATTTAGTGATTGATGCTCAGAGTATACTGAACTTATTGAGCGAACACATCTCCAATAAAAATGGGAAATCAGGAGATGGCGTACCGGAATCCCCAATCGATGATGATGGAAAACATGTTCCACTCCCGACTACTCGCTTCAAGAGCAATAATGCGGCTGTAGCCGGTGGCTTAACGGCAGAGTTATTCAAATACAGCAGCGGAGAACTGATAAGGTGCATGCATCAGCTTCTTTACAAAATATGGTCTGATGAAAGCATGACCGATGAGTGGAATATAAATGTCTTCCGTACAATCCACAAAAAAAAAGAGAACCGCATTGTCTGTGGCAAGTACCGTGGAATTAGCTTACTAAAAAAGGTCCATCGTCAACAAACTAATTAGACCTTATCAGTATTGCTTTAGACCTGGTAAATCCACCGTTAACCGCAGATTCACCAAGCACCCAATCTTTGAAACAACCCAAAAAAAAGTATTGACACACGCAATATCCAATACAGCTGCATAAACTGGGATCAAGCAAAACCAAAGCTCCGCCAGGATGGGAAAGGATCTATTCAAGCCCCTCGATACAAAACGAGGTTTCAGGCCAATTAAGCAGTGAGTGTGATTTCTTTAGGTTATCGCTAAAGAAAATAATGCGAACTTCAGAGTTAAATAGAGAAGGTACAATATTCTACATGTGTGCTCAGCTGTTGGCGTACGCAGATGATAAACGCGCCGGTAGTTCCGTTTTCTCCAAACTTGTTAACAGAACGAGACGACTATATCTGGTAGTAAACGAGCACAAGACAAAATATTCCCATCAAACAAACAGTCGTCGAAGTCGGCTTCCACGTCACAGTACACTTCTCTCCGGAAAAAAGACCCGGGACTGAGCTATTAAAAAAATCTTATTATGGTTCGCTTTACTCGAAGCTCGGTACATAGAAACCTTTTTGCTTGAGTCAACAAGAAGTCGTAGATAACTTCGCCTATCTTGAAGCCAGTATTAACACCAAGAACAATGTCAACCTGGAAATCCGACGCGGAATCACTCTTTCCAACAGCTGCTTCTTTGGACTGAATAAATAATTAAAAATTAAAGTCCTTTCTCGATAGAAAATACAGAAGCCAAGCTTTACAAGTCAACATAAATTCCATCCCGTAGGTAGGCCAGAGGCATACACAATGGGACCTTCTGATGACCCGACGATATACATACCGTATATGAGATATGCAAAAGCTTTTGATATAGTACTCGCCGTTGAAAGCTGAGGGAAAGGAAGGCCACTACTCTGTTGAAAATATCAGATGGAGAAGGGCCATGCTTCATTTGCCCCCAGATGGCGCAAGAAATAAACGACGGGCGCGCTATTATTGACTCGACTACAATCGCATAGGCGGTGTCTACGCCAGTAAGGAAGAAGACTTTTAGATTTCAAATAAAATAAAGCCGCGAATGTTGTAGGGATATTAAAGTTTCAAATCTCAATAAATTTTATAAAAATTTACTTGTAGACACGTTTATTTGTCGTAGCGCTACAAAAATTCATATATTTAATTTAACCTTCTAGCATTGAAAAATACTACTATACTCAAGTATAATTTAAAAGCATTTACCTCTTATAAGCTGATTATTCTCACTCTTTCTGCTCGTCGAATTTCGCTTTGCTCCAAGCGCCAAGTTACGCGCTCTCTCTGTTGACTCTGTGATTCTGAAGTTGCTGAAATGAGTAAACAATTTTTTTGTTTGTTATTAAAGTGCTGAGAAAAAACAACAAATTCAGGCGTAAAAAGTGACAAAGATAATTTCAAAAATCATATGCTTAGGTGAATATAGTACATATATGTATGTATGTATGTATGTATAAAAAAAAAGCGTACACAAATGAAAATGAAAAGGCAGGAAAATGACAAATAATAATTAAATGCAGCATCATGTTTCCGCAAATATGTATTTACTCATATATATACGTGTATATATATGTAGCAAACAATGAAATAACAAAATTGAAAATAATATGGCAAATTAGAAAATAAAATAGAAAAATAGCGAAAAAGACGGGGTGTGAAAATGAAGCTTTTAGACAATGCACACAATACTTGGAAGGTGCATTGCCACTCAGAACGGTTTTATTGTATGCTCAAGCGTACATACATACAAACACTTCATATGTTTACAATGCTATTTTAAGAGTGCAGATTTTGTTATTATTTTTCAGTTCTGTTGTCATTTTTTTTTTTTGTTGTTTTGTTTTCTTCAATTTTTCTTTGATCTTCAACGAAGGTAATTCTCTTTTTCAAAGCTTTTTTCTTGAAGCTAGTCAGCACACTTCATTTTCAAGGCATTTTTTTTTTTTTGTTTTTTTGTAATCTCATTGTTTTGACTTGAGAAGATCGCTTAGGAATTTTCCACCAACGACCTTGTCTGCTCACATAATATCGTAGTTGACTTTAGTGAAGCCTCCAACTTAAGAAGAAGAAGAAAAAATTTGAAAAAAGACTCACCGCAAAAAATAAATTAAAAATGCCATTGAACGGCAATGAAAAGTGTGACATTCTCAAAAACATAGTCATATGTACATACATATATGTATGTATATACGGTAATTAATCTAAAATATTTACATATATTTTTAATTATGCATATATATATGTGTAAGATATTTATATAAGTAGCACATACACATGAACATATAAAATATGCTTTTTGTTATATTCGAAGCCGTAAGTCTGTGCATGTATGTAAGTATTCACTCATTTGTTGTGGGTGGCTGCGAGTTTGTGCTGATACCTACTTACATAGCATATATGTATGTATGCACTTGTGTCAGCGTCGCTTAGTCACTGCATTGCCAATTCTAATTTATTTTAACAGCGACCGTGTTTTCTTTTGATTACCTATTTTCAGATATATGCATTTAAATGTACATACATACAAATAAATATGTGGGTATCTAATTGTACGCGTTTAAAATTTTTCTCTAAATTGAGAAATATTCTGTTTGAGAGATGAAATACATACATATGTGTATTTGTAATATATGAGACCATAAGTATAATGATCACTTTCGGCTCCTCCTCCAATTTGTGGTGGAGCGATCTACAGTTTATACTAAGCAGCCTGCGAATGGCTCATGATTTTTTTAATGAGGAGCCTTTATTTCATGTTAGAACTACACTCGGAGAGCCGGCGGAATGAATACCGCAATTAGACAAATTTAGCTATTTTCTATTTCAATTAAATTTCTATAATTTTTATAGATGTTGGTTGGACCAGGACTCGAATGAAAACCTTCGGAATGGCAATACGAAATGCTTACCACTCGGCCACTATCGCAGCCGCCAACCGTACCTGATAAATCCATATATTCTCAACAACACAAGTCCTGGAAAATATCCACACCTACGACCGGGATAGCACGAAAAGGAGAACATATAATCTTCTACAAGAGCGTATAACTGCCCACGTATGCAAGTGAGAATTTTTGTTACCAACAAACCCAGAGTTACCCACTTCATGCCCAACATACCGAGAGACTCGCCGGAAAGATAAACGAAAAAATCCAACAGACCAGTGACCGAAAGCCAATGACAGTCCGATCTGTTAAAAATGTTTGCATAATCTTAAAGGAATGTTAAAGTTCAGCTCGCTAAGCAGGAATGGACTATCATGATAACACCTCCTATCAAACAGAACTTCAAGCAACTTTCTGCGACCATGGAGTGACTTGCAAAAAGAGAGGTTCTCATTCGCATCCAAGTTGGCATTTCTTAGCGCGAATAGTAGGAATTGACATTGTTGGCCTTAGCAATCTCGCTGTACGTACTGTTTCCTGGATAACAGAGAAGCAAATGAGCACATGATCTGTTACCTTACTGTCGGCAGCCATAACTTTAAGCTCGTTGATATTTTGTATATCGAGGAAGGAGCATTAACAACACTAACAATTTCAGGGTTAAGATCCAATTCAGAATAACTCTCACCAACGGGTGCTTCTTTGGACTGAGTAGGCAATTGGAACGTAAAGTCCGCATTCGACAAGGAAAGCCCAAAGTTTTGAAATCGCTCATCATTTCAGTCATACTTTATGACTCTGAACCTTGACAACATCGACAGATTTGACATTAGTAATCCCGAAAGAAAGAGTGAACTTTTGTGCGTTGGCAACGGTGAACACCGCAGCTTTGTATGTATAGTTGCTTTTAATGTATTCGTTGCAGTATCCACCGGAGATAGTAGTGGAAGAGGAGCATTTCTACTCGATTGGAAAGAGCAAGAGCCATATGTCACCACTTAATGTATCCAATGTGGCGCCAAACGAAGCAGAGAAAAACTACATGCGTAATGTTTTGACTCGGCTATAATCTCTTAAGCGTTGTCTACGCTAATAAGAAGAAAATAATCAACTGAAAAGAAGAAGAAATTTACTTTTAAAATGCAAAGACCTTGCAACTGTAGAATTTAAAAATACAAAAATTACCACAGAATATCATGTAATAGAATTTAATGTAATTAAACAATGCCACCCATTAGAAGCATTTTTCTACGTTCTACTTAGAGAATCTCTTCGGCATTTTTATTTAAAAAATTTGAAAAAAAAAACGTGAAAGGGAGAATTTAACAATTTTTCAACAAAAAAAAGCTAACAAAATTTGTAATTTTTTATGGAAATAGTTGGGCTGACTAGCCTTTCCAGCAGGTTTCCAGCAGGGCATGTTCACCTGAAATGCTTTAATCACAGTAATGTGTAAATTAATCGTTATGTTTCACGACTTTGCTGCATAATTTACACCCTCACGCGCGTTTGCCACGTTTTTACCATATTATTCTTTTATTTATTTGTTTATTACGTTTTCTTTTTGTCGAGTGTAAAAACTTATTTGTGTTGAGAGTTATGAGTTTATTTGATTCTGAGGCGTTATAAGATTTACATGACTTTTGAAAGGTGCGCGTGCTCACTATGGCCCTGTCAGTTTTGACAACTGAATGATGTAAATTCGGGTAAAATGTCAACAATTCAATAAAATTTAACTAACTATTTTTTTAAAAATACCTGCCAGTCAACAATAAAGAGCTATTTTTTCGGAAAGGTGTGTACACTACCATCAATACATATTGTACATACATATATATAAACAAATATGTACATTTGTATGTGGTTAAGAATTTGTGCGATTTGTAACAAGCAAAATAGTTTTATTATTAAAATCAGTTTGAGTTTGAGTTGTTGTTGTTGATTTTTTAATTTTTATGGTTTTTTGTATGTATGTTTGTATTTACATACCTACATATTGCATACAGTTTTAAATTTTTTAATTCTTTTTTATCTTTTTATTTTTTTTTTGTTCAAACCAAAATATTTCTCCCTCCAAAGCATATGATTATGAAGTCACGCACCCATATAACGGTGTCCAGCTTTATGCAATTAACTTCATTGCGTCATAATTCACTACTTTTTGGAAAACATGCACATTTGAAGCTCTGTCTTTTGGTTGCACTGTGCACTGATATGCAACACGCAATATAATTTTTTTGATTAAAACTTAAACGTATAATTTTGATTGCATGTTTTTCATTAAACTTTTAACATCGATCGGTTATGTAACACAATTACTACAGCACTGCACAATTGTTTAATGCAATACCTTTCTTTTGTTAAGCAATAAATTGTATGTAAGCGTGAAAACTTATTTACGGTGAAAATTATGAGGCAACTCTAGATGAGCTATTTTCTCTATTTCAACTGAAATTCTCGCTTCAAAATGAAGCGAAACAAAAAAAAATGCAAAAGGGATTTGTTTAACGTAATATCTGGGTGGAACTGCATTCTCTTTGTACCTTGAAATAAAATTGGCATAGCAGAAAAGTTATAAAATACTAAATAAAAAATGTCATAAATTAAAAAAAAAACTTTTATCTGAATTATTTTACATTAACATCTCATAAAAATGAGATTTATTCCCTCACTTTTTCCGCTAAATTACACGATCAGTCCGATAATCCTCCAGACCCTATTCAATACAATAAACACGCTACGAACTTTTTGAGCTTTACTTCAAACAGCGACATCTGTTGTGTACTTTTCTGCGGATATTTTATTTTATGCTCGTGCACAGCAAATAATAATATCTCGTCTTCAAGAAACTGATTGGACCTGATCAGTGTGACTGTAAACTTGGTAAGTCAACCACGAGCGATACACATCACATTTTCGTCGATTTCACGTAAACAGAGCTGCCACTATGCCGCTTTGTCTGAATTTGGTATCCACACAAAACTTATACGGCAGTGTTAAATCATATTGGACCTCACTGAGTATTTCGATACCAAACGAGGGTTCAGACAGGGTAACTCTTTATCGTGTGATTTCTTCAATTTGATGCTGGAGAGAATAATAAGAGCTACAGAGGTGAGTAGAAAGCATACAACTATTGGCATATATCTTAACAACTGCACCGTTAGTTCTGCTTTCTCCAGACCAGCAATACATACTGCCATTAAATATGCCAGAATTCGACTTCTGGTCAGTCCAACGCTCGAAATTATACAAAATTAGTTTTTCGAATTGCGATTGCCGACTTCGCGTGTGTTTCTGACTTGAAATAAAGGCTTCTGATAAGAATCTATCGGCCGCTCTGTGGCGACTGAGAATAAAGTGTTTTTTTTTTTTTTTTTTTTTTTTTGTAGATGATGGAAAGCGTCGAAAGCCTTAACCTCGTC